CCCATGTGCTCCCCAACCTGTCTCTGGGTTTCCATCTGTGGGATGCCCTTCCCAGTGACCTAAGGACCTTGGAGAGCTCCCTTCAGTGGCTCTCTACAGGAAGACAGACTATCCCTAACTACAACCACTAGGCACAGAACAAAACTGTTGCCGTCATGCCAGGCACCACGTCAGTATCTTCGACCAAGAGTGGAGCTCTCCTGGGGTGCTACAGAAGGCCACGGATAAGGAGTTTGTGAATTCTGGGGAGAGAAATATTTGGGTCTCCCCTAATGCCACTCTCTTACATCTCATCAAAGGGAAAGGTGGACACTGAGCTTACATATCCATGACAGCTATAAGCAGATCCTAGGGAATTCCCTGTATCATGAAATGATCATGATGGTGACGATGATCTTGGCTCACCACAACCTCCACCTTCCGGGTTCAAGCGATTCTCCTACCTCAGTCTCCCAAGTAGCTGGGATTACAGGCGCCTGCCACCATGCCCGGCTAATTTTGTAGTTTTAGTAGAGACAGGGTTTCTCTATGTTGGTCAGGCTGGTCTCAAACTCCCGACCTCGGGTGATTCACCCGCCTTGGCCTCCCAAAGTGCTGGGATTATAGGTGTGAGCCTGGTCTCTGGATGCCCCTGAGAAAGTCATATTCTAGGATAGGGCACTTCTCTGTGTTGTGGAATTCCTGGCCTCTTGTAATCCTGACAGCTGTGAATGGTCAGCAGTCACTAGTCTCAGCAGCTGGGGGAGGGAGGCATTAGCCATGGACAGGACTCTGGGTTGAGGCTCACAGCATCCACTGCTCCTTCTCCTTTATCCCCATCCTTGCTATTGTTAATAATGTTGACTGGGCACATGCATGTAATCTCAGCACTTTGGGAGGCCAAGGCGGGAGGATCACTTGGGGCCAGGAGTTCAAGGCGAGGCTGGGCAACATAGTGAGACCCTGTCTCTACCAAAAAAAAAAAAAAAAACAAAACCCAAAATACAAAATTTAGCCAGGTGTAGTGGCATGCGCCTGTAGTCACAGTTCCTTGGGAGGCTGAGGCAGGAGGATCACTTGAGCTCAGGAGGTTAAGACTACAGTGAGCCATGATCATACCACATGCCACTGCACTCCAGCCTGGGCAACATAGTGAGACCCCTTCTCAACAACAACAGCAAAATTAGCCAGGTGTGGTGGCATGCATCTGTAGTCCCAGATCCTTAGGAGGCTGAGTCGGGAGGATCACCTGAGCCAGGAGGTCGAGACAGCAGTGAGCCATGATTGTACCACTGCACTCCAACTTGGATGACTGAGTGAGACCTTCTTTCCAAAATAATGATAGTAATAATCATCATCATCAAGGTACTAAACATATTCATTCATGTCATGCCCTTTTCAAAGTACAAGGTCTAGGTCAGGAGCAGTGGTGGCTCATGCCTATAATCCCAGCACTTTGGGAGGCCAAGGCAGGAAGATTGGTTGAGGCCAGGAGTTCAAAACCAGCCTAGGCAAAATAGCAAGAGCCTGTCTCTATAAAAATGAAAAGAAAAAGAAAAAAAAAATACAGATTAGCTGGGCATGGTGGCATACACCTGTAATCCCAGCTACTCAGGAGGTCGAGGTGAGCAGATCACTCGAGGCTAGGAGCCTAAGACCAGCTGGGCAACATAGCAAGACCCCATGTCTACAAAAATTTTAAAATTTAGCTGGGTTTGGTGGTGTGCACCTGTAGTCCTAGCTATTCAGGAGGCTGAGGCAGGAGGATCACTTGAGCCCACGAATTCGAGGCTACCATGAGCCATGATGGAGCCACTGCACTCCAGCCTGAGCAACAGAGAGATTCTGTCTCAAAAATATACATATATTATTACTGTCCATCAAATTAGAAATTAGACAGTAAATTAAACTTTCTAACAATACTTTTTATAAGTACGCATCCATCTTTGTCTATATATTAAATCTGATTTATTTAGTTGGGTCCAGTGGCTCACGCCTGTAATCCCAGCACTTTGGGAGGCCGAGGCAGGTGGATCACCTGAGGTCAGAAGTTCAAGACCAGCCTGAGCAACATGGTAAAACCCTGCCTCTTTTAAAAAAATATAAAAAAGGAAAAAGACTACATAATATGACTATGTGTTAGTAGATGAGTGATTAAATAAATTCTGGTACAGCAATTAATTGGAATACCATACCACTTATTTAAGACTTGGCTAAACACTCATATCTACCTGGAAAAAAGTCCACAGTCTGTTAAGTTTTCAAAGTAATCTCCAAAATAATTAGTATATAGTATCATAGTTTTTTTTGTAAAACTATTTTAAAACTCTAAATATAGGAATATATATTGTGATAAAATGCTTTTTCTAGTATTTATGTAGTAAATTATATTATTACATGCATAAGTTTAATTTTTCATAGATGGGACTATAGTAATGGTCATCTCAAGCTCATATCAGAGAAGGGAAATGGAGTTTTATTTTATTTTATTTTATTTTATTTTATTTTTTATTTATTTTTTGAGACGGAGTTTCACTCTTGTTGTCCAGTCTGGAGGTGCAATGGCGTGATCTCAGCTCACTGCAACCTCCACATCCCAGGTTCAAGCAATTCTCCTGCCTGAGCCTCCCAAGTAGTTGGGATTACAGGCATGTGCCACCACACCTGGCTAATTTTTTTGTTATTTTAGTAGAGACGGGGTTTCACCATGTTGACCAGGCTGGTTTCGAGCTCCTGACCTCAGGTGATCCACCTGCCTCGGCCTCCCGAAGTGCTGGGATTACAGGCATAAGCCACCGTGCCTGGCCAGGAAAGGGAATTTTGAATTGTGTTTTACATACTCTGTATTTGTGAGAATGAGTACATATTATCTTATTAATTTTAAAAATCCAGTTAAAAACTTCTAAATAAAACAACATTAAGAACTATGAAATATGAAAAATTTAGCACACACAGACCACCATATGTTTCCTCACCTATAAATAGTGATAATAACACCTTCCTTGTAGGTCTCTGTGAACATATTTAGGGATAATGTATGTAAAACTGTTTATTACCATGCAGGCTGGAAAGTAATGTCCCATTCATTTGTCCACTAGGATGGCCATAGGGTGTTTGGGTTTTTTTCCTTTTAATTATTGAATTCCAGAGTTTTCAAACACATTCTATTGTTGTAAAGTGAATCATATTCATATTTTTTTCCTAGGGTTTAGTGATTCCTTTTGCATACAAATTCAGGCTGTATGTGTTCACACACAGATCTCAAATAATACCTTAATTTTCACAATGAAAAGCTCTCTTCCTCACCCTGTAGCCTTGCTCCCAGAATCAACTTTTTTTTTTCCTGATAGTAATTACATATTTGTAAGTTAGGTATTTATACTGCTTTTTCATTTATCAGCTTTAGACTATATTGAATTACTTTCTTCTCTGAAACAATTAGCACATAACTCTTACTTACTGTAAAACTAATTTTCCTCACCAAACATAATCATTTAAGGAATCTGGATAAATCAAAATTCAATGTTTATCATTTTATGACATCAATATTTACCATTTGTAGCATCTAAACCTTAGCCAGAGATGTAACAAGTAGTATGTTAATTTTTTTTCATTTTTTCTTTTGATTTCTTAAATTTTAAAATTTCCTTTTTTATTTCTTCGTATGAATCCAACACCTATTTTCTCCACCACAAATGTAATTCTCTTTTCAATAGATCCAGATGTGCACGAGACAATTCATCAGCTTTGGCTTTTACTTGGAGACATCCCTCCCTAGCTCTCCCTCCCCTCGTCGCTCTCTGGATGGGAGAAAGATGCATACGTGATCCCATTTTTGAAAGAAATTAGGAAGCTCAAAATCACAAAAAAGGCTGAGTGTGGTGTGGCTCACACCTGTAATCTCAGCACTTTGGGAGGCCGAGGTGCGAGAGAATGACATGAGGCCATGAGTTCTACACCATTCTGGGCAATACAGACCTCCTCTCTACAAAAAAATACAAAATAGCCAGGCTTGGTGGTGTGGGAGGCCCAGGCGGAAGGATGGCTTGAGCTCAGGAGGTCGAGGCTGTAGTGAGCGACGATTGCACCACTGCACTCCAGTCTGGGCCAGAGTGAGACCCTGTCTCAAAACAAACGACGCACACAAGCCCTAAATGTGTGGCTATATCATTTTAACAGGCAGTGAATGTGGAGAAAGGACTGAAGAAAACTTTAGAGTTCATTTTGCATCCTGCTACCTGAACAGTTTTAAAATCCACAAAAAGCCCTGCACCCAAAAACTGACCTCTCCAAAGTCTTGCCCTCTCAGCCTCTTAGCTCAACCCCATTCCATGCCCCATCACTACCTTACCTGGTCCACATGCTCTCGCACCAAACCTGGTACTAACCCGCAAGACCCGCCCATCAAACTTAATGCCCGCCCACAACCCCGCCCCCTAACAGTCTCTGGACTGTTAGCCCCGCCCGGATGCCTGGTACCGCCCCAGCCCCGCCCCAGAGTTGGTTCCCGCCCCCGGAACTAGTCCACGCCCACACTCAGCCCCGCCTCCAAGCCTGGTACCGCGCGCGGCCCCGCTCAGGAGCTAGTTCCGCCCCCAACCCTACGACAGACCCGCGCCAGGACAACCCTACGACAGACCCGCGCCAGGACAACCCTGCCTCCGCGGCTATCACTGGTCAGGGCCCAAGCTTGTTCTGTTAATAACTAAGCAAACTGGAACACCTCGGCCCGAGATTTGGGTGCGCGGCCGCTACTCCCGCCCGCTCGCTGCACATGCAGCCTGAACCCGGGGCCCCCGGACACGCCACATTTTAGGTTGGGACCAGCTGGAGCCGGAAGGGGAGGTGCAGCGCCGCTAGCCGGAGACCGGAAGCGGAATTGCAGGTGTGTATTGTGAGAAGAGCAGCGTTTGCAGCGACTGGGAGAGAGTCTTTCGGTCGCCGCGAGAGGTGCTGGGTTCGGTGAGTCCGAGTCCAGAGAGGGGTCCCAGCCGCGGGCCCTGCGTCCCTCCCGGGAGCCGGGTTTCCGCCCCTGAGGCCTCGGGCTGTACCCTCAGTTCAGCCCGAAGCTGCTATTTCCTCCAGTGTCTGGGCCCGGAGCCCGTGTCGCCCTCACACGGGGCGATTATGCGTCCCAGGGGATTTTTGGCTATAGTTGGAGACGGTTTTGAATGTCACAAAATGGAAGGTAGGAGGGACTGTGCTACTACTGTAATCTAGAGGGTGGAGACCAGGGATTCTAGCAGCTCAGCATCCTGCAGCGCATAAAGCAGCCGCCGCCAGCAAAGTCTCATCCAGCCCCATATGTCAGTAGTGCCCAGGCTGGGAAACCCTGATGGAGGGCATTAAAATCTCTGCAGTCCTAAATGCACTGTATAAATTATTTAGAATTCAGCTGAGTCACTTATAAGACCTAAAGTTACGAATTAGAGCATCTGGAGTCACCATAAAATCCCCAGGCAAATGAGTTAAGCAAGTCAAATGCAAACAGCTTTAAGCCCCTTGTCCCATTTTAGGGAGCAAATGGCCGGATAGGATCTGGGGAATTCAGGCACAGCCAGTAGCCTGGGTTCTTATTATTATTTAAATCTTTTTTTTCTTTCTTTCTTTCTTTTTTTTTTTTTTTTGAGACGGAGTCTTGCTCTGTCGCCCAGGCTGGAGTGCGGTGGTGCGATCTCGGCTCACTGCAAGCTCCGCCCCCCGGGTTCATGCCATTCTCCTGCCTCAGCCTGCCGGGTAGCGGGGACTACAGGCGCCCGCCACCACGCCCGGCTAATTTTTTTGTATTTTTAGTAGAGACGAGATTTCACTGTGTTAGCCAGGATGATCTCGATCTCCTGACCTTGTGATCCACATGCCTCGGCCTCCCAAAGTGCTGGGATTACAGGCGTGAGCCACCGTGCCCGGCCTCAATCAGTGTTTTTAAGTGAATGGGGTGGTCTTTCTGTGCAACAACTGTGTTACTCTCAATAAATACATTTTATTATGCATACATATTACTCCCTACAAAAGGCCTCGTAAGCCATTTTTGTGCCCTTTTTCTTTTCGGACAAGAAAAGTATCATTCTAGCTCAGATTTGTGTTGAAACCAGCCTCAGGGTTCACCTATCCTCACTGATCCGTGGATTTCTGTATGATCAGGTGAGTAGCGTGTAGAACTTGTAAGCTGCAATACTCTACTGTGTAGAAATACTGCGAATGGATTTTTCCTGTGCTCAGGTTGTAAACACAAGGAATTACTAAGAGTGAGGGTATCTTTTTTTTTTTTCTTTTTTTTTTTTTGAGACAGACTCACTCTGTTGCCCAGGCTGGAGTGCAGTGGTACGATTTCAGCTCATTGCAACATCTGCCTCCCAGGTTCAAGTGATTCTCCTGCCTCAGCCTCCCAAGTAGCTGGAATTACAAGGGTGCACCACCACGCCCTGCTATTTTTTGTGTTTTTAGTACAGGCAGGGTGTTGCCATGTTGGCCAGGCTGGTCTTGAACCCCTGACCTCAGGTGATCCGCCCAACTCGGCCTCCCAAAGTGCTGGGATTACAGGCGTGAGCCACGAGTGAGGGTACTTTAAAAATTGTTTGACGGCTTCTATTCAAGAGAAAGATACTAAGGGGTGTGTGACAGTGTGTGTGTAAATAAGTCAGTAAATACAGCTATATGCAAATCAGTACACAAAATAAACACGTAAACACTATTTTTAAATTTTTTTTCAACCTTCCAAGATATCTCAATTTTTCTTTTATTTTTTTCTTTTCCTAACTGGCCTGCCAGCCTGTAGACTTGTGCTGTATAATAAGGTAGCTGCTAAGCCGGGTGCGGTGGTGCACCCTTGTAATTCCTTGTAATTATGTAATCCCAGCACTTTGGGAGGCTGAGGCGGGCGGATCACCTGAGGTCGGAAGTTCGAGACCAGCCCCACTAACATCGTGAAACCCTGTCTCTACTAAAAATACAAAATTAGCTGTGCATGGTGGCCAGCACCTGTAGTCCCAGCTACACGGGAGGCTGAGGCAGGAAAATTGCTTGAACCTGGGAGGCGGAGGTTGCAGTGAGCCGAGATTGCGCCACTGCACTCCAGCCTGGGCGACACAGCGAGACTCTTTCTCAAAAATAAATAAATAAATAAATAAGGTAGCTGTTAGTCCATGTGGTTGTTTAAATTTAAATTTAGACCAATTATGATTCAATAAAATTGGCCAGGTGCTGTAGCTGACACCTGTAATCCTAGCACTTTGGGAGGCCAAGGCAGGTGGATCACGAGGTCAGGAGATTGAGGTCATCCTGGCTAACACGGTGAAACCCCGTTTCTACTAAAAATACAAAAAATTAGCCGGGCGTGGTGGTGGACGCCTGTAGTCCCAGCCCAGCTACTCGGGAGGCTAAGGCAGGAGAATGGCGTGAAGTCGGGAGGCGGAGCTTGCAGTGAGCCGAGATTGCGCCACTGCACTCCAGCCTGGGCCACAGAGCGAGATTCCGTCTCAAAAAAAAAAAAAAAAAAGATTCAATAAAATTTTAAATTCAGGTTCTCAGTCGCACTAACCACATTTCAAGTGCTTGACAGCGACATGTGGCTAATGCCTCTATTGAAAAGCGAAGATTAAGATCATTTCCATCATCCCAGAAAGCCCTGCTGGGTGGCATTGTCCTAGTCTCTTCCATTTGTCCATTGCAATGAAGCCAGAACGGCTGTTGTAAAAGATAATTTGTGGCCGGGAGTGGTGGCTCAAGCCTGTCTGTAATCCCAGAACTTTGGGAGGCTGAGGTGGGTGGATCATCTGAGGTCAGGCGTTCAAGACCAGCCTGGCCAACATGGTGAAACCCTGTCTGTACTAAAAATACAGAAATTAGGTGGGTGTGGTGACTCTTGAGCCCGGGTGGTGGAGGTTGCAGTGAGCCAAGATGGCACTACTGCACTCCAGCCTGGGCAACAGAGGGAGACTGCATCTCAAAAAAAATAAATAAATAAAAGTAAAAATACAGCCGGGTGCAGTGGCTCATACCTGTAATTCCAGTACTTTGGGAGACTGAGGCGGGCAGATCACCTTAGGTCAGGAGTTTGAGAGCAGCCTGGCCAACATGGCAAAACCCTGTCTCTACTAAAAATACAAAAAGTAGCCGGGCGTGGTGGTGGGCGCCTGTAATCCCAGCTACTTGGGAGGCTGAGGCAGGAGAATCGCTTGAACCCGGGAAGCAGAGGTTGCAGTGAGCCGAGATCTTACCATTGTAGTTCAGCCTGGGTGACAGAGCGAGACTGTCTCAAAATAAATAAAAATAAATTTGCTTCAGTCAGTCCCCTGCCTGAAAAGCCTTTGCTGGCTCTCCACTGCCTCTCACCTTCAAACTCCTCACCACTCTATAATACCTTTTGAAATACAACCTTTCCCCTGTACTCTGGCCCCTTATTTGTCCACATGCTCCAAACTGCGAACTTGGCTGCCTCAGCAGCTTGCTTTCCTGCCTCTGCACGTGCACTTCCCACTGAGCAAGACCCTACCTCGACTCTCAAGACTCAATTCAAATGTTTTTAGTGTTTTTCCTTCCCAGGCTTCCCAGTCCCCTTCCTCCCAGATCCTGGGTTGGATGCCACGCGCCCCTCTGCCATAGCACATATCACTCTGACATGCAGCCGTAGGTCTGTGTGTGTCCCACTCCCGGAAAGCCAGTTCTTAGATGACAGGGATCTTGTCCCCTCCATCTGCAGCACGCGGCGTGGGGCAGGCATCAATAAAACATGAATGAAGGGTCAGCGTCGGGACCCGAGGGCTGGAGAAGGGATTTGAGAGGAATAACTGGTGAGGAAATGCTACGCCTCGTTTGGACTTAGGAGGGAAAAGGGGGCGGACCCACCAGGGGCTCACCTATGCAAAATTCTCTTTTCTACCGTTTGTGCAACACAGCTGCTGGAAGACCCCACTTATAAACAACTAGAAATATGTGGAACTGCAGAGAAATAATACTTTTTTTTTTTTTTTTTTTTTTTGAGATGGAGTCTCACTCTGTCGCCCAGGCTGGAGTGCAGTGGCACAATCTGGGCTCACTGCAACCTCTGCCTCCTGAGTTCAAGCGATTCTCCTGCCTCAGCCTCCCAGGTAGCTGGGATTACAGGCGCCCACCACCATGCCCAGCTAATTTTTTAAATATATTTTTAGTACAGACAAGGTTTCATCAACTTGGCCAGGCTGTTCTCGAATTGCTGACCTCAGGTGATCTGCCCGCCTCAGCCTCCCAAAGCGCTGGGATTAGAGGCGTGAGCCAGCGCGCCCGGCCATAATACAGATTTTCTTGCATGTCATAATACTAAAACTCAGGCTTTTACATGTAAGTACAAATATATAAACTTTTCACATGTATATGTGAATTTTGGGGGTGTTGTTATTCTGCCAACCACAGAGACACTTGGCAGCTGTATTGGGGGGTGGGGGCTGTGAGGCTGCAGGCAGGAATGGGAAAGAGCCGCCCATCTCTGCTTGGCTCCAAGTACCAGCGAACAACTGGCCTGTGGGGAATGGCTCTCCATTCACTCCTCTCCCAATCCTTCCCTCCCCGGACACTGGGGGTATGGGGGTCACCCAGGATAAATTCCCTGGGCAAGAGATCTAGGACGCCAGGGCCTGAATGCTGCATCTCAATACAAATTCCTAGAGAGACTGAGTGGCCCTGCCTTCCATGAATAGCGAGCACCATCCACCCTCTACAGTTCTGTTTTGTCTACCTGGCCCAAACTCACTCTTACAGGTCTCTAACTCCAGACTGTGCCCCCTCGCCAACCCCTCCCACACGCACACCCTTGGCCGCTTTCTTTTTTTGTTTGTTGTTTTTTTAGACGGAGTATCGCTCTGCTTCCCAGGCTGGAGTGCAAATGGCATGATCCTGGCTCACTACAAGCTCCACCTCCCAGGTTCATGCCATTCTCCCGCCTCAGCCTCCTGAGCAGCTGGGATTACAGGTGTGTGCCACCACGCCCGGCTAATTTTTAATATATTTTTTAGTAGAGATGGGGTTTCACCACATTAGCCAGAATGGTCTCGATCTCCTGATCTCACGATCCGCCCACCTTGGCCTCCCAAAGTGCTGGGATTACAGGCGGGAGCCACCACGCCTCACCGGCCACTTTCATCTTTGTGTGTATACACACACACACGCACACACACACAGCCCTTCTTTTCTCGTATAAAAGGAAACATTCCATATATACTATTTGGTACTTTTTTCCCCCTTAAATTTACTGAGGATAATAATCTATTGATATCTAGAGATCTCTCTTTTTTTTAACGGGTGCACTATAATGCCACAGTGAATAATCTTACACGACTTTTATATTTGTGTATCTTACAGATCGATTCTTAGAAGTTGTAGGAATCTAGGGTCTCTGATAGAAAATGGCTGGAGCTCTGCTGGGCTGGCATGAGAATAGGGGATGGGGAGGAGGAAATCAACTGAAATGAGGGGCAGTGACATCCGCGCTGGGTAAGGTGGAAACCAGGAGGGAGGGTGGCCAAGGCAGAGCACAGGCTGGAGAGGGGGTGACCGATTCAGGGCACAGGCGAGAGAGGGGGTGACCGAGGCAGGGCACAGGCTAGAGAGGGGGTGACTGAGGCAGGGCACGGGCTGGAGAAGGGGTGACTGAGGCAGGGCACGGGCTGACGGGGGTGACTGAGGCAAAGCACGGGCTGGAGAGGGGGTGGCCCAGGCAGAGTGTTCCCATTTCTTCCAGAGTGCTTTCCTGAGAGCGATGCAGGAATAAGGGAGGAGCGTCCTGCTTCCCGGTTGCCCTGTTACTGTCGGAGTCACAGGATGGCTGCCATCATCCTGCCCCTGACTGCTGGTGAGTTGTGGGGTCTCAGAGACCAGGCTTGAAAGGCTCTGACCCACAGCATGGGATGGGAGCGAGTTGGGCAGAGCAGGTGAGGCAGGAGTGGAGCCCCAGGGCCCAGAGGTCCTCGGTGTCTGATCGGGCGGCTCTCGGGATTTGGGACTTAGGCGTTTGGGTGTCTGTGGATGTCGCCTCTGTGGTGAATGTGCTGGAACTTTTGAATTCTCCCTTTAGTTCTTTCTGTGAACCTTATAAAAACACAGTGACACCCTTGGAACTTCAGTTTCCTCATCTGTGAAGTGGGAATAATCCCTTCCCCAAGTGCAGTCAGACCTTGAGCCCTGTTACCTGGCGTGGATGCAGCAGGGCCATGCTCTGGTTTCCTTGGATTGCTGTTGCTGGGGGTTTGCGTGCAGTAGAGGTGGCTGCTTTGTGGGTGACTGTGTATGCATGGGGACACGGTCAATTGCAGGCAGGTGGGGGAGCTTCCAGGTGTGGGAGTGGACACAGGGCCGGGCTGGATTCCTGGGACTCATTTTTCCTCCTCCAGCTCTGCCTTCCCCGTTCCCAGCCTCTCAGCGAGAAGGACACACAGAGGGCGGAGGGCTGGTTAATGAGCTCCTGACAAGCTGGCTAAAGGTAAGTTAGATGTTCTTTTCTCCAAATCATTATTCCTTCAGCCAGAAGGTTGGACTCAATGCCTTTCAGTGGCCTGGACCTTCACGGCCAAACTCGCTCCTCAGGCATCCCAGGATCTTTGAGCAAGGGCTGCCCGGAAAATACCAGTGTGTGTCAACGTTTACTGCAGGTTCAGAGCCCCTTCCAGGGTCCCTAAGTATATTACATGCTCCTGCGAGTTTTAAGGGAAAGCCAGGTAAAGACATGACAATGTTCTAAGCCCAAGCGATGAATGAAGGCCTTATGGAAATCATTCATTCACTTACCAAGTATTTCTCCGATTTCTGCCGTGTCACGGGCCCGTGCTCCCCTGGAGACTGAGGGAAACGAGGTCACAGGAGCGCCCAGCCTGAGAGAAAAGACGGCTGCTCTGTGGTACTGGGCACTGGGCCTGGGAGTGGCCTAAGGAGACAAGCATTGAGGGCTGAGCTCAGAAGCCAGGGAGGGGAGCTCGGAACCCCACCCCACATCTCGTGCTCAGGTTTCCCTAGCCGTGGCTCTGTTCTTCTGGGCCCTCTTCCTGTGCATGTTGGTGGGGGTGGTCCTTGGCTAAGCTGTGATGTTTGCAATGCTTTAGGGCTTGGTGACCTTCGAGGATGTGGCCGTGGAGTTCACCCAGGAGGAGTGGGCATTGCTGGACCCTGCCCAAAGGACACTGTACAGGGACGTGATGCTGGAGAACTGCAGGAACCTGGCCTCGCTGGGTAAGCCTGACATCATTCCTGCATTTATTTAATGACTCAGGAAGTAAGTCTTTTCTTTTTTTTTAAATTGAGGTAACACAGGACACAAAAGTCACCATTTAAACTATTTTAAAGTGTCCAATTCGGTGGTTTTTTGTAGGTTCACCGTGTAGTACGACCATCACCACTAATTCCAGAGCGTAGCTGTCATGCTGGAAATAAGCTCCGTAGTCATGAAGTGTTCTCTCCCCATTTCTCCCTCCCGAACACCTTGGCAGCCACTGACCTTTCTGTCGCTATAGATGTGTCTCTTCTTTTTGGCGAGGTTGTTTTCAGACAGTGTCTCCCTCCGTCGCCCAGGCTATAGCGCAGTGGCACAATCCTGAGTAGCTGGGACCACAGGTGCGCACCACCACGCCCAGCTAATTTGCTTATTTTTTGTAGAGATAGGGTCTTGCTCTGTTGCCCAGGCTGGTCTCAAACTCCTGGGCTCAGGTGATCCTCCTGCCTTAGCTTCCCAGGGTGTTGGGATTACAGATGTGAGCTACCATTCCTGGCCCTATTCATGCCATTTTATATAAATGGAATCATATAAAATGTGGTCTTTTGTGTCTCACTTTTTGCTTAGCATAATGTTTTCTGGTTTTTGTTTTTTTTTTTTTTTTTGACATGGAGTTTTGCTCTGTTGCCCAGGCTGGAGTGCAGTGGTGTGATCTCAGCTCACTGCAACCTCCACCTTCCAGGTTCAATCTGTTCTCCTGCCTCAGCTTCCCGAATAGCTCAGACTAAAGGCATGCGCCACCACGCCCGGCAAATTTTTGTATTTTTAATAGAGATGGAGTTTCACCATGTTGGCCAGGCTGGGACTCCTGGCCTCAAGTGATCCACCCACCTCGGCCTCCCAAAGTGCTGGGATTACAGGCATGAGCCACCACGCCTGGCTGTTTTCAAAGTATAGCCGTGTTGTAGCACATATCAGAACTTCATTCTTTTTATGGTTAAATATTGTTCCATTATGTGTATATACCACTTTTTATAAATCAGTTCATCAGCTGATGGAAATTTAGCCTGTTCTCATGTTTTGGCTAATGTGGGTAGTGTTGCTATAAACATTCATGTACAAGATTTTGCTTGAGCACCTGTTTTCTCTTGGGTATTTACCTAGGAGTGGAACTGCTGGGTCCTGTGTTAATTCTATGTTTAATGTGTTGAGGAACCTCCAAACTTTTACATTCCTACCAGCAATGCATGAGACCAGCAATGTATTACAATTTCTCTGCATCCTTACCGACATCCGCCTCTTTTCCTTTTTTAAAAAAAATTATGATAGCCATTCTTGTGGGTGTCTGTCTCATTGTGGTTTTTATTTCTATTCCCTAAAAAAAATGATGAGATTGGCCATCTTTTCTTGTGCTTGTTGGCCATTTATACATCTTTTTTGAAGAAATGTTCGTTCAAGTGCTTTTTCCATTTGCGGGGCATTGTTTGCCTTTTTGTTACTGAGTTGTAGAAGTTCTTTATATGTTCTGGATCCTCGACCCTTATGAGATACATCATTTTCAGATATTTCCTCCCATTCAGTGGATTGCCTTTTCACTATCTTGAATGACAGTTTTGTGGGAGATAGAACTCTTGGTTGATATTTTTCTTTCAGTACTTGGCGTATGTCATCATCCCACTGGCTTGTGGCCTCCATGCTTTTTGATGAGAAGTCAGCTGTTAATCTTGTACATGATGACTTATTTCTGCCTTGCTATTTTTCAGGATATTCTCTGTCTTTGGCTTTTGACCATTTAATTATAAGGTATCTCAGTGTGAGTTTTTTTGAGTGTATCCTATTTGGAGATCCTTAAGCTGCTTTGATGTATAGACTTGTAATTTCCATCAAATTTGGGAATGTTTGGCCATTATTTTTCCATATATTCCTTTTTTATTATTATTATTTAGAGTCTCACTCTGTCACCCAGGCTGGAGTACACTGGCACGATCTCAGCTCACTGCAACCTCCGCCTCCTGGGTTCAAGCAGTTCTCCCTGCCTCAGCCTCCTGAGTAGCTGGGATGACAAACGCACACCACCACACCTGGCTAATTTTTGTATTTTTAGTAGAGACAAGGTTTCACCATGTTGGCCAGGCTGGTCTCGAACTCCTGACCTCAGGTGATCCTTCCACCTCGGCCTCCCAAAGTCTTGTAATTAGAGCGTGACCCACCACACCTTGCCAATTTTTCCATATATTCCTTCTGCTCCTTTCTCTGTCTCCTCTCCAGTAGCAACTCCCATTATGTGTATTCTGATGTTTGATGGTGTCTTCTGGGTCTCTTAGGCTCTGCTCATTTTTTTCCCTTTATTTTTAATTTCTGCTCTACAGATCAGGCAATCTTAATTGACCTGGCATCAAGTTCACTGATTGCGTCTTCTGCCTGATCAAGTCTTCTGAGGAGCCCCTCTAGTAAATTTTTCATTTCAGATAATATATATTTTTCAATTTAAAAATTCCTATTTGGCTCCTTTTTATAATTTCCATCTCTTTATGCTTTTCTCTATTTGGTGAGAATTCATTCTGATGGTTTTCATTAGTTCTTTGTACACAGTTTCCATTAACTCCTTGAGCATATTTGAAATAGTTGACTTGAAGTCGTTGCCTAATAAATCCAATGACTGGGTTTCCTTACGGATCATTTCTGTTCATTTCTTTTTTCCTATAATGCAGTTTCATTTCTTTGTTTCTTTTTTTTTTTTTTTGGAGACAGAGTCTCACTCTGATGCCCAGGCTGGAGTGCAGTGACACAATCTCGGCTCACTGCAAGCTTTGCCTCCCGGGTTCATGCCATTCTTCTGCCTCAGCCTCCCGAGTAGCTGGGACTACAGGCGCCCGCCACCACGCCTGGCTAATTTTTGTATATTTAGTAGAGACGGGATTTCACCATGTTACCCAGGATGGTCTCGATCTCCTGAAATCGTGATCTGCCCACCTCAGCCTCCCAAAGTGTTGGGATTACAGGCATGAGCCACCACGCCCAGCCCATTTTTTTGTTTCTTTACATGCCTCATAATTTATTTGCTGAAAACTACTTTCAGAATATTACAATATGGCAGTTCTTTAAATCTGATTTCAAGGTTTGTTGTAGTTGGTATTATTTCTTTGTTTAGTGACATTTCTGAACTAATTTTGTAATGTCTGTATTTGTCACATGTGGCCACTGAAGTCTCTGTTCTATTAGCTTAATGTTCAGCTTGGGATTCATTTGTCAGAGATTTTCTTAAATACCCGGAACCCAAAAGATGACCAGGCTTTACCAATGGATCTGAATTACATGTTGGAGCATGCCTTCAAAACTCAGCTAAAGCACTTTACAACTCTGACTTAGCCTTCACTTCCTTCTTATGCAGAACCTGAAGGTCAGTCAAAGGTAAGGGCTTGGTGCCTTCTCAGATCTTCTCTGAGCATGTGTTCATCCCTGGGTACGAACATGGCCTTCTAGAAATGTGTGGAGGGCTGGGCACAGTGGCTCACACCTGTAATGCCAGAACTTTGGGAGGCCGAGGTGGGCGGATCACCTGAGGTCAGGAGTTCGAGACCAGCCTGGTCAAGATGGTGAAACCATATCTTTACTAAAAATACAAAAGAATCAGCCAGGCGTGGTGGCACATGCCTGTAATCCCAGCTACTTGGGAGGCTGAGGCAGGAGAATTGCTTGAACCCAGGAGGCGGAGGTTGCAGTGAGCCGAGATCACGCCACTGTACTCCAGCCTGGGCAACAGAGTAAGACTCCATCTTGTGAGGGTGATAAAAAAGGTGTGGAAAGATGCTCTACTCCCCCGAGCATCTTGTTCCCCACTTCTCCTCCCAGGTTTTTTGGTTAGTCTTGTTTGCTTCACAGTTTTCCCTAACCCCACTCAGCAGTGGCTGATTTGCCTTTAGATGTGTTGGGACACACTTCCCTCTCCACCCTCCACCCTCCATAGGTGTAGTCTCTTCAGACCTGGGAGAGTTTGGAGTTACACAAATAAAGGGAAGCCCTTTGATCCAGCCCATCAGGGAGCCAGCAGACAGGTCAGAACAAACAACCACAGGTTTTTGAGAATAAGGTGCATTCTGTTCCCTTCAGTACTAGAAACACAGGTTGTCGTCTTCAAGGCAAAATGGGGACTAGAGTGTGCAGCTAGAGTCAGTTAAAATGTCACAAATCTCTCTTACCCTGATTCGGCTGTTTGTCTCGATTAGGCATTCTCCTGTGGCTGTAAACTTTTGATCACATTCAAGAGCTCCAATGAAGCTGATTCTGTTTTTGCCCATTTACTTACTGTTTCTATGAAGGGATGAAGTTGGGGAGTTCCCTACTCCACTACTTTCACCGACATCACTTCTTTTAAGTCCTTCGTAAGCACCTCTGTTCCTAGGTCTGTGCTGGGATGTGGGTGTACAGTGAAGAATGCAACATGGTCCCCACCCTCATAGAGCTGTCTAATGCTGTCCACTATGAAATGAAGATCTCCTTCTTTCCCTGACTGTATATTCTCTGTAGTTAAATCTTCTGGGCTTTCAGATTCTGTGTTTAAACCTGGACAGGGGCTCCTGGGACCAGTTATCCTGCAACCACCCTACATATTGCTTGTGATTTTGTGTATGTGTGTGAAAGACAGTTGCTATATTTCTTTAATTTCGGCATAATTATTCCTCTGTTCCTGAAGTCACACCTCTTCCCCTTCAGAACTGATTTCAGTTTCATGGGGAGCTTGTCTGCTGCACAGTCCTCCTACATCATGTGTCTTTTCTCCATGTACAGGGGACCAAGTTGATAAACCTGGTCTGATCGCCCAGTTGGAGCAAGAAGATAAAGTGATGACAGAAGAGAGAGGAATTCTCCCAGGTACGTGTCCAGGTGAGCACCAGGTGGATATAAGTCCTTGTGAGGAACAGCTCTGGCCAGGGACTGAGGCGTTGAGAGTATTATAATACATTAGGAAATACCAGTCAGAGAACTGCGTAAATGTCCCTTTTCCCAAGAAGGCTGAGAACATTTGGTCTGAGCCCCCCCATGTACTTTCATGACTTTAACTTTCTGTCATCTCGTACTTTACTTGGGCCTCAGGGGAGGAAAAAAAGACATGTCTCTTTTTCTGACATTTAAGTCTCCTGTGAACTCTTTGATCAGTTTCAGTCCACCTTGCCCTCCTGACAATTCCTTCATTCTGTCCACATCAATCTCAATCTTCCTAGAGTCTTTCTTAAACATTGCCTAAAATTGTCACAGCCATATCTTTCATAGAATCCCTTCTCAAGGCCGGGCGCGGTGGCTCAAGCCTGTAATCCCAGCACTTTGGGAGGCCGAGACGGGCGGATCACGAGGTCAGGAGATCGAGACTAGCCTGGCTAACACGGTGAAACCCCGTCTCTACTAAAAAAATACAAAAAACTAGCCAGGCGAGGTGGCGGGCGCCTGTAGTCCCAGCTACTGGGGAGGCTGAGGCAGGAGAATGGCGTAGACCTGGGAGGCGGAGCTTGCAGTGAGCTGAGATCCGGCCACTGCACTCCAGCCTGGGCAACAGAGCGAGACTCCGTCTCAAAAAAAAAAAAAAAAAAAAAGAATCCCTTCTCAAAAACCCTCACCTCTCAGATTCTGCCTTCACCCATGTATGCATTTTACCATTTCACCATCAACTTAAATTTGCCTCTTTTCTATCAACTTAAATTTCTTTTTCACTTGTTTCAGATGTGGAGAATCCACTTAAAGCCAAAGGGTTAACTCCTAAGCTGCATGTTTTTCGAAAAGAACAATCTACAAATATGAAAATGGTAAGACTAACATGGGTGATTTCTGTTTTTTTCATGGTAGGAGAATGCCCTACGTGAGAAAAGCCACAAAGACTGGCTTTGTTGGCCAGGCGCAGTGGCTCACACCTGTAATCCCAATACTTTGGAAAGCTGAGGCGGGTGGATCACAAGGTCAGGTGTTGGAAACCAGCCTGGCCAATATGGTGAAACCCCATCTCTACTAAAAATACAAAAAAAAAAAAAAAAAAAAAATTAGCTGGGTGTGGTGGTGCATGCCTGTAATCCCAAATACCTGGGAGGCTGAAGCAGAAGAATCACTTGAACCCTGGAGGCGGAGCTTGCAGTGAGCCAAGATCACGCCACTGCACTCCAGCCTGGGCGACAGAGCGAGACTCTGTCTCAGAAAAAAAGAAAGAGTGGCTTTATTGAATAGTTATTAAAGGAAAGTGTCATTTCTCCAAGAGAAAGTAGTGTCTCCGAAGAGATACTGTGAAATTATTTTGAATTTGGAAAAAAGCATTAGTTAGCCCCAAACGTGTTTTTCCTGAGAATTCCCACAAGTAAGTATTTCCAGTAGTCTGAGTCAGATATTGGGTATTTGAAAAAGAAATTAGCCTTAAATTTATCAGAAAATACTCTGTGAATATGATAAAGACTTGCGGAAAGAATCCATCTTTTTTAAATGCTAAGAATTCAAACTGACAGAAGCAATGTACCAGCACTCATAGTGGCAAAAACATTAATTCCAATACTATGATACACAACAGAATTCCTGGGAGAGGAAATTCCTCTGACAGCATTCAATGTTAAAAATATTATAAATGGTACTTATTAGTCATCTCTTAATCAACAGGAGACGAATCATCTTGGAGCAGAATTCAACGAATGTAATCAGTGTTTTAAAGTCTTCAGCACAAAATCTTCCCTTATGCGGCACAAGAAGATTCACGCTGGAGAAAAACGCTACGACTGCAGTGAATGTGGGAAATCCTACAGCAGCAAATCTTACCTTACTGTTCATAAGAGAATCCACAATGGGGAGAAACCCTACAAATGCAGTGACTGTGGGAAAACCTTCAGCAATTCCTCATACCTCAGACCACACTTGAGAATTCACACCGGAGAAAAACCCTACAAATGTAACCAGTGTTGTCGTGAGTTCCGCACTCAGTCAATCTTCACAAGGCACAAGAGAGTTCATACAGGGGAGAGTCATTATGTATGTAATCAGTGTGGAAAGGCTTTCAGCACAGGGTCATCTCTTTCTTTGCACTATAGCATTCATACAGGGGAGAACCCTTACGAATGCCACAATTGTGGGAAAACCTTCAGGAGGAGCTCGAATCTGACACAGCACGTAAGAACTCACACTGGAGAAAAGCCCTACAAGTGTAATGAGTGTGGGATATCCTTCACCAGTAGCTTTTCTCGTACGGTTCACAGGAGAATACATAATAGAGAGAAATCCTATGAGTGCAGTGACTGTGGAAAAGCCTTTAATGTTCTCTCATCTGTTAAGAAACACAGGAGAACTCACACTGGAAAAAGACCCTATGAATGTAATTATTGTGGGAAATTCTTCACAAGTAACGGGTACCTTTCTGTGCATATGAGAACGCATATTAGGCAGATGTGAATTCAATAACTGTGCGAAAAGCATTCATTGATCTTTCATGCCTCAGATAACATGAAAGAACTCTTCACCAGATGTATGAATTAGCTGCTACTGTATAACGTGTAACAAATTACCCCACAAAATTATGTGGCTTCAAACAATAAACATTTATCTCACAGTTTTTGTAGGTCAGGAATTCAGAAACAGCGTAGCTCCATAGTTCAGGATCTCTCAAGAGGTTACAGTCCAGATGTCAGCAGAACCATAATCATCCAGAATTTGTACTGGTGAAGGGACCACTTCCAGGTGGCTCACTCACATGCCTGACAAGTGCATGCTAGCTGTTTCCAAGGGACCTGCACTTCCAAACCACGTAGGCCTCTCAACAGGGCTAAGTTTCTTTATGGAAGCGACTTCTCCCCAAAGCCAGTGATCTAAAGGAGCCAACACAGAAAGCATAATGTCTTTTATGACCTAGCTTCAGAGAGAGACGTTTTCATGTCCCTGTTACATTGGTCACACACACCAATCCTGATACAATGTGGAAGAACACCACACGAGGTATGAACAGTAGGCATTCAGAACCATCTGGAAAGCTTGCCATGAAATCAGTGGAGATAATTTTTTATTTTATATATTATTTATTTTTTAATTTTTGTTTTGTTTTGTTTTGTTTTTTTGAGACAGGGTTTCATCTATGCCCAGGCTGTAGTGCAGTGGTGCAGTCTTGGCTTATTACAACCTCCGCCTCCTGGGCTCAAGGGATCCTCCCATCTCAGCCTCCCAAGTAGCTGGGACTGTAGGCATGCACCACCATGCCTGTCTAGTTTTTGTAAAGATGGGGATTCACCATGTTACCCAGGCTGCCCTCAAACTCCTGGGCTCAAGTGATCCACCTGCCTCAGCCTCCCGAAGTGCTTGGAATATAGGAACGAGCCACCACTCTCAGCCAGAACTTCTTAAGATAAAGGATGAGGGAATGTTTTCAGTGATACCTCTTACATTAGGAAAAATATGAAAATGTTCCTTGGATGCAGTACCCATGAGTGTATTAAAAATCCTTCAGTGATTCCTCCCTTTACACATGAGAGAACTCATAGAGGAAACCCTAGGAACGTAATTGATGTTAGGATGCCTCTCCTCTTATCTGAGTGGCCACATGATACCTTATACTGAGAACAAAAGGTATAAGTGCTGTGTATGTGGAATTACCTTCATCAGTGTCTCATTTGTAGGTTGGGCCACTAGCTCATTAATTTTCCATCTTTTAAGTATTTATGGCTATAGCTGTCCTGAAAATCTTATTACCTCATTTTATATACAGTACATTTATTATAATTCTAAAACATCAATACATCAAATATTCAGAAAGGTATTTCCAAACAGCTCCTGAGTGATATAGTTTGTTATAACAGAAATTAGAGGCCTGGCATGGTGGCTCACGCCTGTCATCCCAGCATTTTGGGAGGCTGAGGCAGGCGGATCACAAGGTCAGGAGATCAAGACCATCCTGGCTAACTCGGTGAAACCCCGTCTCTACTAAAAATACAAAAAATTAGCCAGGCATGGTGGTGGGCGCCTGTAGTCCCAGCTACTCAGGAGGCTGAGGCAGGTGAATGGCATGAACCTGGGAGGTGGAGGTTGCAGGGAGGTGGGGGTTGCAGTGAGCCGAGGTCGCGCTGCTGCACTCCAGCCTGAGCAACAGAGCAAGACTCTGTCTCAAAAAAAAAAAAAAGTATTTGCCAGGTGTCGTGGCTCACACCTATAAACCTAGCATTTTGGGAGGCTGACGCGGACAGATCACCAGAGGTCGAGAGTTCGAGACCAGCCTGGCCAACATGGCGAAACCCCGCTTCTACTAAAAAACTACAAAGTTTAGCCGGGTGTGGTGGCAGGCACCTATAATCCCAGCTACTCAGGAGGATGAGGCAGGAGAATCAATCGAACACAGGAAACGGAGATTGCAGTGAGCTGAGATTGTGCCACTTCACTCCAGCCTGGGCAAAAGAGCGCAACTCCGTCTCAAAAAAAAAAAAAGAAAAGAAATTAGACAATATTTGGTATATTTTTTCTAATCTAATAGCATTTTATCAGAGTACATGGACTTTTTGATTTTGATTGTTTTCTCTTTCTGTCCTAATATAGCAAATACTGTTTCTTTTTTTCTGGTTTTTTTTTGAGATGGAGTCTCGCTCTGTCACCCAGGCTGGGTTCTTGCCATTCTCCTGCCTCAGCCTCCCTAGTAGCTGGGACTACAGGTGCCCATCACCATGGCCAGCTAATTTTTCGTATTTTTAGTAGAGACGGGGTTTCACTGTGTTAGCCAGGATGGTCTCGATTTCCTGACCTCGTAATCCACCTACCTCAGCCTCCCAAAGTGCTGGGATTACAGGCATGAGCCACCATGCCTGGCGCAAATACTGTTTCTTAATGTTCATTCTCCCTACTTAAAAGAAAAAAACAAGTTGTCAATGAACAGTATTGAAAATGTACAGTGGGGCCAGGCGCCATGGCTCATGCCTATAATCCCA